TCAAGCTCGCGTCGAGTACCTGTTACAAGTAGGCATTTGGAGTTGACACTGTCGTCAGCTGTTACAACAAGAACACCAAACCGATATAAACAAACGAGGCTTTCGAAGTTGCTGAAGCTTTGGAACATATTTACCGCAAGTCTTCAAGTGACTAAATCCACTTCAGGTTGACTCTTTCGTGGGGTTTATGGTCGCCGTGCTGAATTTCTTATCCAGGCACGGCGCGCGTATACAACACGGCTAGGGTGGCGTCCACTGTATGCAGGGCATTGTGAAACAGTTCATCCCTACTCTTGCCAAGCGGCTGTTTGGGCACCAGCACGCAGTGGAAATGGTTTCTGCCCGCATACACTTTTTGAACAACAGAGCGTAGCACTGTGTGTGTTCGAAGGCTGCCTGCAGTTGCGTCTACCCTAAACGAAGGTTCATAGACAAGGACCTATCGATGTCATTCGTGCTTAGCCTGTGCAAGTTACACCTGCAACGATTCCGCTAGTACGGTACGTATATGCACCTGGAGAACTGGAAAGATGAGAACGCTACGATGCCGACCCTGTAGGGTCTCTTATGATGTTCAACCAGGTAGACAGCTTTGATATTCCTGGTCATCAATCCACATACTGTACCATCTTTTCGGTTATGGTACGTGAGCTTTAGTCCTGAGGAAACTATAGGGATTCAGCTATCGCCTAAAGGAATTTTCAGCTAATGTCAAAGAGCTTGCTATTTCATAGTGGTCGTATTTCCGCCTTGGATGCAATCATAAAGTATTGAAATGCATTTTTTTTTTACTTCTGTAGAAAGCATGTAATGTACATATCTTACCGCAGGTCGTGCTCTGCGACAGCCTTTAAAATGACACTGGGTCTTTCGGATGTTCTTCGGTATTTGCTATTCCAGCTTCTACTTTATATCGTCCTGGTGTGATTTTCGACCACTTGCAAGTACAATCCGAACCATCTGTTGGTCATTGTTTGATCTCCACTGTGTCTAATTTAAGGGCATTCGATCTTGACATTACACCTCTTTGGGCCGAGGCCTACAAACTGTGATTGGGGTGCCATTGCACTCGTCATTAATTTTACCAACAACCCTTTTGTTTGTTGTTCTGCACAGTTGATATTGTGGGGTAGGGTAGGTTAGCGGATAGTCGCTCGTGCTGTACAGGCCATAATCTTTAGCTATGTCGCGGTAAAGGTTCATTTTGCTTCGACAGGTCGGTGTCCAAGCAAAGCAGGTTCGCTTTGTCGCCGTGGCTAGTCCTAATGTTGTAATAGTAAAAGTCGTCCAGTAACAGCTTACTCAAATGCAAAAAAAAAGCCATGCATGTACAAATCTGATATTTGAGATTGAGGTTGGTTTTCGTGATGTGAACAAGTATTAAGTTGCTGTCGAAGACTTTCCTGGTTTGGAAAGCCCGATCGGCAATTTGGCGGTGTAGCTTTTTTTCTAGCCTTTCGGCTTTGTCTAGTCCAAACGGAAACGCTTTCGATGGTTGTTCGTCGTTTCTGCAAAGACGAAAATGTTCATCGGCTTTACAAAAAAAAGTCCTTTTCGAATCCTAGTGTGGCCCTGGCCCGTTTTCATATTAATTTTGAAAGTAGAGTCCCATCCACCGGCTCTGGTCACACTCAAGCACCAGGTAATCCTTGGTGAATTGTATCCCACGTCTGCTTTAGAGCTGGACGTTCCGTACTTTGGATAAAGTTTCATGACAAGACAAACAAAAAAAAAAAATAGTATGGTACACTCAGAGAGATCTCACTGGATCGCGCTGATTCTTGCTTTAGTCCTCTGGAGTAACCTTCGTTTTGTCGGCCAGTGGATAGTACTGTACGCGTTATACGGTTGATTAGCATAATCGGATTCGACCTCGAGGACATATCCAACTCCTTAGTCAGCTGAAAAGGCTTGCTAGCAGGCCTAATCAATCCTCTGGAATTCTCCTTTGCTCAGACCCAGCATTAGAGATTCTTTCGATCAAAGCAGTTCTCTAAGCTGTCTGGTTTAGTAGAGATGTAGCCCAAACACGTTGTTTTGCCTCGGAGAGACTGCTGTTGGCATTTATCCCGTATTTTTAAATTAATTTTTAATTTTTTTTAAATATTTATTTATTTTGTTTGTTACATTTTGCTTTTTTCCAGGGACTGATTTTCCATCAAAACTGCCTAATTCATCATTTAAGGAAGCTTTCAGTGTCGTTGTCTGTGAACTGGTAGTAAGACGGTCAATATATCGAGCACATCCTTTTGGCTGTAGGCATGGAGGCACCGGTTGCGGACGTGCGTCTTTTCATTGTACTTGATATTATGTCTTGCCATACGGGTTAGGTCTTTTATCCAACCATGGCGTTTTTTTTTTTTGTTTTTGTTTTTTTTAAGCTTCGCTTTCAGTTTCAGTCAACAGCGGTATGTTATTAACGTATACTTCATCGCCTACGCGTAGTGGCTGAGAGACCATAGACACTGAGTGCGATTTCCGGGTTTGAGCGCTCAAACTTGCCGATGTCGCCTTCCTCTGATGCAGAGTCCATCCCCTAAAATTTAGTTCTCTTGCTATACTTGATTTGTAAGTACGGATGCTCGCTATATTTCATTTGATGAACAGCGAACAAAATATGGGTGTTAATAAAAGATTGCGGTGGAACAAACGTAAGCGTCAAGAGAAAATATCGTAATGGTATTGCTTGCATAATAAACCATAACAGTAACTGTTTTTGGAGCATCTGGTGCAATGGTTTTATATGTGCTATCAGAACTAGTATGAACCTGAAACCGCAAAACCGCATGTGTTCCGCGTTAATATCGTTTGGAGCGTCAAGTGCCATATAGTTCAGAAAAACCGTGGTATATTCTTTGAACCAGTGTTCATGTCAAGCTTGTGTGTCTCTAACTATAACTCTTACCTTTGATTGTCTCAAATGGCCTCAACATGTACTCAGTTGTAGCCCGTTTTTCGCCGCACTTTAGCGACGGCGATTCACACTTTGCAAAGAAAAAATTAACTCTTGCTTTCGACGCTGTATTTAATACAGGATTAGGTTCCATCTATTTGTGAATATTTTACAATATTTATAATGCAACTCATGCAACGCCAAAAACAAGTTCCAGTTAAAGGTATCTCCTAGGCAATTGTGTTTTCACGCGAAGCGTGTTTGTATACTCTTCTAATTAAAGAAATAACCGCGATTTATACTTAAATTTATTTTTTTCAATTAATTGATACAAATAAAGCATGTTCAAGTGCAAAACCGCCATTTCATACACTCATATAGCGGCGCTTTGGCTGCTGTAGGTGTGAAAAGGTTTTTTGAAACCTTCCGAACGAGTAACTCTCTGACTGAAACAACGGCCCGTGCACCCAAGCACGAAGTGAAGATTTTCAACCCCGTCTTCGAAGGTGTAATGCCCCAAACAGTTGTTTTGTTTGTTTTGCACGTGATTTCAGGGATGGCTTCAAACTCGCTTCCAAGGCAAAACCGAAACCTCCCCAAATACGGGTTGGGGACCATTTAGACCCTTACAGGATAACTTAAAACTGGCGCTACGCGAGATAACCAATTTTTTTTTATAGCGTTTTTATAGCGGGGTCAAAATGTTTACGGTCCTGCTTCAGATGTGCACCTTTCAAAAGACTGCGAGTCCTTCATGGTCATTGTCATTTCCTGTGCTTAGAAAGTAAAATTGAAGAAAAAACAAGTCGAACACTTTACGTTTCATATTTTATAACTCATTCACTGCATTTTATAAACTGGTATTATCGTATCAGGTAAAAACAATTTCCGCAATTTTAATAACGGCTACCGAAAGTAACCTTTGGACTGGTCCAGTCTAAATTTATTTAGCACGTGAGAACAGCTGTTTGTTATCCATCTTCTTCAGATAGTGCATAGGTTACATAATTACCACGTGTATTGAAACCGTAAATGAAGATAGCATAAAGTTATAACCAACATTTTCTAAACATTGCATGTTGCCAATGCAAGCAACTTTACCTTATAGCGGTCCATCCTTCAGAACACATAATAAATATAGAGTGGAACCTAAATAGTGGCCATATTGAATGGCTCTTATGCCCATGGTCTGCAATACGATATAAGAACTTAAAAATAATGAAGGAAAGGATCAGATATGGAGAGGTTACAAGACCCTACCGCCACCCCACCTCTAAAAATACATACAGGCTTACACACAAACGTATTGTGACTTTTCGCTTTAAATATTTGACCATCGTTTATTCTTGAGCATTCTTGTGCACATTTATTGGATATCATCTACACTTTCAGTAAATAAACACATTTAGTTTTACTTTGTTGCCCTTTTGTGGAAAATCAGAGCCCTTTTTGAAATGTTTGAAAACCCTGCCCTCTTGATCGTATCCGGCCGTGCAGTGAATAGATGACGTATCATAACTAATACCAATAGTTGCAAACAGTTCAAACCAAATAATTTCTTATTAATTTTTATTACAGAGTTCGATGAATCAAATTTAAATGTGCGGGGTTTTCATCGATTATTGAAATGTATTCATGCGCCATTTTCAAGACATGATTTTTTAAGATTCTCTTTTTCTCAGATCTAGCCAGATGTTTGTCCATCCAAACCTTATTAATTTCGGAGTCATTACTACAGCTTCCTCCAAGGCTCTTTCAGGGAGTCGAAGTTATTCACCTCACAACTAAAAGTGGCAAGCATATTCCGAATAATTGTATCCCGAGGTCATTTAGAATATGGTCGTCTCTTTTCCGATATGAGTCCAATAACGTCTAGCATAATTCGTAGGAATCTCTGATATTTTGCATGAATTTGGATTTTAACATATCTATAACAGTTTTATAGTCATATCGCCACGATGTTTACAGTGTGGCAGTTTATAGTGATATCTAGCACTAAGGCATCTGCAGACATGTAGTATCGTGTCTCACACAGTCATAAATCTAACATCTTAATGCTGAGCGCCAAAGGAGACGGCTGTTAGTACCATTTTTTATGACTTTGTTATTACTTGGTCAGGGTTCTAACCTTTGACCTCCCGCATTCGAGGCGGACGCTCAAGCCACTTAGGCCACCTGAGTACAAATGCCTCTGGTGTACAGAAAAACCATACATTTTGTTAATCGGAAATTTCTCCACATGTGCTCGACCACCTACCCCTCCTCCTCGATTTCATCTCTAAACATATTTCAGCTTAGATCCGTAAAACTTAATAGCTATTCTTCGGCGCTACTGGATTGATCAAGATATTAGGAATGATAATAAACAGTTCAATCAGTATACTCTCAGTTAAAATTTTTTTCATAAATAGGCAAAATGATCCATATTGGAACTCTACATATACATTCGAGCTTAGGCCGATAAATCAGTCCCACACGTATAATAATACAGACTGGCTATTTAGGGGCTTATATCTCAAACTCATTAAAACCTGCAAAAATCTGCTTCCGTTTTTTTTCTGTACATATTTGTGTATATTGTATACACTTTCCGGTATTTCTCGTGGCTGTTCAGCTAAAGGGTTCTTTTGGCATTTCGCAAAAAAAAAACAAAAAAAAAAAAACTTTAGCCCAAGGCATCTAAACAGCCACTATTTCCGGATCAACTGATGTCTTGCGATTTGTAAATCCACGTGGAATAACTTAATCCTCTGTTCTGTTGCCATTTTGAATTTCGCGCTAGTTATGTTACCAAATATAGGTAAACGTCTAAACTGTTTGCATGTGTGTTCCAGAAAAATTATCAGGCGGCAAAATTTCTTATTTAAATAAACAGGTGACATCAGACTCACATATCGTCAATATCAACACAGATTTTGGGGGCTGATTTATCGGACTAATTCGAGATATGTTCCGTAGGAATGACATCGAAGCTGCGATTGTTATAGCATACGATGAAAAATTTCGAAGACGATTCAACAAAGAGACAGTATCTACAATTTCTGCCTGACAAAAATTTGTACTATCCGTTGGATCGATTTAGAAGTTGCAAATGATATTTCTTTCTCGATTTTTGTAGGCAATGGCCCAACGATGCGCATAAACCACTCAGAACATCTTCGTCTTTTTTCCGGTTACAGTCAAATAATTGCATTTGCGTCAGTTGTTAAATGTTGGGAAGATTTCAATTGGTCAGAATATAACCACATGATCAGACTTCTTTAAATCACATTTTTGTTGGAACTAAAATTTGTGCACGCTCAAAAGAAGCAGTTTTGACGTCTCTGTTCTATGCGTTCCGTTCCGAGGCATTTTTAATCAGTAAAATAGATTAAGGCGCGTAATAACTAATGTAAACACCATGCAGGCCTTTAAAACAAATAAGAACGGTGGGTTTATATTTTTGTTGAAAATTAAATTTATAGATTTTACAGAATCAAATAACAAATCTTGCTGATTTTTTTCTGAAGATAAATAATTATTTTTTTAAATTAGATTTGACTAAAAAATTGGGAAACTTAAAATCTGCCAAGAAGATCAGGGGATTGTACTGCACTTTAACTGCAGCTTGTTACAAAAATAATTTAAAACTACTGGTAAATGTATATAGGGATTGGGAGGAGACTGGGATGACACTTCAAACTCTTTACCAGCTATGCGCTGTGACTGAGTCGCATATGCCAATTTAGATTAAAGGTTAAGACCATGCCGTGGAACGTTCAAAACCTTTCATCGCCTACCGTTGAGAGAATTTTTTAAGCTAAACAAGCTACAGCTTAGTGCCTCAAAGTCTGAAGAAGCTTCTCAATTTTATTTTATACCAAATATGGACTCTATAGCTTCCCCTAGCTTAGGGCCTCTCTTTGTCTAAATCCGGCACTGCTTGTCCTTAAGACGATTTGAACTTATTTTGACGTCAACATTAGGCTTGACGGCAGATCTAAATAGCCATTTGTTCATTGTATTACATCCATTCCAAAGAAAAGGTCAAAGATGATCCGAATGCCGGACTATCATAAATTCCAAAGTGAGTTGTCGCCGATTTCAGAATTATTATATAATAATATATTTTTCAATAGTGATAAAATGTCTAACTCAATGGGGGAAGGGATTATAACAAAAATATATAAGGGGAAGGGAGATAAAAAGAAAAAAGGCCTTAAAACTTGGAGGCCCATATCCCTCCTAAATGTAGATTATAAGATATTAAGTAAACTTCTAGCTAATAGAGTTAAAAATTGCATGCCCACAATAATTAATGAGAGTCAAACTTGTGGCTCTAAAGGAAAAGATATACAAAACAATATTCTAAATATCAAGACTATAATTGATTATTTTAAAACAAATAATAAAACTGGCGCCATGGTGCTAGTAGATCAGGAAAAAGCTTTCGATAGAATTGAACGTAACTATATAGAGCAAGTATTTAAAAAAGTTGATTTCGGAAATTTTGTTCGAAAGTGGACCAAAATCCTGTATAATGATATAACTGCCATAATACAGGTAAATGGAGTAATAACGGAAAAATTTGAAATACAAAGATCAGTGAGGCAAGGATGTCCACTATCAATGCTATTATACGTAACAGCAATATAAATCCTAAGTATTAAAATAAGGAACAACAACAAGATAGAATGAATACATATACCTAATTCGAAAAATGCATTTAAAATGAATTTAAAATGCTACAACATGCGGATGATTGTACGAACTTTATAAGGGACCCAAAGTCCTTCCAATACTTAATGAAGGAATATGAAAATTTTGGTAAATCATCCGGGTCAAAAATCAAACATGATAAATCGGAAATGTTAAAAATAGGAAACTGGAGAGGGAATCACCCTGGATTTTCCCCACAACATATAAAGAAAACGGTTAAAGCCTTAGGGATTTACTTTGGGCAAAATGAAGAATCTGAGAACTATAAACAAATAATAAATAAAATAAAAAAGCACTTGAAATCTGGGCACCTATGCCAATATGTTTAATGGAAAGAGCATGAATAGCTAAAACATATTTATATTCGAATACAAATTATGTTTTAAAATCGTTTGATATTAATAATAGAATTTTAGAAAAATTAGATAATGAAATAATTAATTATACGTGGGATTATAAAACACACTATATACAAAAATATACTATGTATAGGGCCATGGGAAAAGGAGGTTTAAATCTACTATGCCCTTTTTTAATTAAAACTGCAAATATTTTAGACCGTTTTCAAAACATTAAAAATAAAACTATGAAACCTAGGGAGGGATTATATTTGTATTGGTTTGGTTATACTTTAAAAAATAAACATGAAATATACACGAACAACGCTTTAAGAAAAATAATTGAAGTACCTAAAAGACTACAATATATAAAAGATATAATACTTAAATATAGAGAAATTGAAATTGCATGGGAAGAAAATAGTATCTATAAAACTATAAGAGAACTTTTTTTATATAAAAAAAGATGTAAAATTGAAAATGAAGTGTGTGGGGTTAACTGGGAAAGAATTTGGAAATTATGGAAAAAATTAATTCTCTTAAAATATAAAGTATAATTTTTAAATTTTTACACAATGCGTGGTTAAATGGGGTCGTAGCAAAAAGAAGAAATTTTATTAAAATGGTACCAAAATGTCCCCTATGCAAAAAAGCTGGTTGTACAAGAAAACACGTTATAGCAAATTGCAAAATGATAAAAGCTGAAAGAGAAGGAGGTATTAACATTTTTTAAAAATATGGGGGGTGTATAAAGCGGAGAAATTATTATATCTGGATACTAACTGTAACCAAGCTGAATACATGGAAATACTAAGCTTTATAGTAAGCACAATTAGTAGATGTGGATCAATTTTAAGCAGAAGGAAATAATTAGTTATATCTTGTAGGGTTTTTTTGTTGTTGTTTATTTGTTCTTTTTTGTTTTTTAATAAACAACCTTTTCTTTTCACAGGTAACTCCACGCATGGAGGAAGTAAGAGACAAGGACGACGTAGGGCTATATTACATGGCGATACGCGAAGTGAGCAGGCCTGCGGAAGAGCCTCAGAAAACACCATGTGTGGTTTTACTCCAAATTTTATGGCCTTTTATTAGAAATTTTGGAAAAATTGTGGGGAGATGGGGTCCGAATTTTGAAAAAAAAATCTCGAGACCCTGGCTTTCTAACAACAAAAATTTACTAGGTAGACATATCAATAAGAACACTCACAACAATGATAGTTTTAAAATTGCAAATAAGTAGAACAAATCACGTCTAACCTCTAAATTCCAAATTATATAAAATAATCTTAATAAATTAAATGGGTATTTAATAAATTATAAGCATCCATGAATGGAATTAAAGTAAGAATGGAAGAAGGGGAATGCGTAATAGAAAGAATGGGATGCATATAATTGAGTAGAAAAACTGAATGATTTAAAATTTGAAATAGTCGGCTGTCCTTACAAGAATAGAGTATATCGCAACATACACAAACACCAAACACATAGCAAGCACAGGACATAGAGAACCTCTAGCCAAGGTTAACATAAGGGGAATGACTCCGACAAGGGAAGCAAAACCTTGTCGGATAAATGAACCTTTAGAATACAATAAGGACAAAAATACCCCAACAAAATTTAATTTTATGGAATTAATTTTTTTGGATTTAAAAAAAATAAATTAAACATAGCAACACATCGGGGGTAAAACACGAAAACAAAAACTTTTTTAGATATTATTTTGGCTAAGTGGGGGGGGACTGTCAGGTGTTCCCCCCCCCCAAATGCCCAACAGCAGTAGGTTATGTCCCTTGAAAAATGTCGCGACAGACAACGCAGTCACAAGACCAGCTGCAAGCTTCATCGTTTGAACTGCGGGATAGCATCATAAATGGGACAATTTTAAAAATATTCCAGGATTCTTATTTCGTCTTTGATGCATTAAAAGTATACATGACCCATCAGGGATTTTTTTTTATCACATCCGGAAATAGACACTTCCTTTAATCGAAAACTGGTGTCACAACAATTCCGTCTCCTTTTAATAACACAAAAACAACATAAAACCCAACGGAGATTCTAGAGAGAGCATACATTGTTAATAGACCCCAAATGTATTGAAAACTAATTGCCTTAAATATAGGTTTGGTAGGGGTTAGACCAA